TCTGCGTGACCCGAAGCCTCTGTTCCTCGGGGATGAGTGACCGGGAGGCTGACCACCGCGCCATGCGGTGAGCTCACGTGCAGCTTCTCTCGGAAACTGTCGTGCTCCCTCCAGAGGGGCTGTGCCCGTGCACCCCGCCTTCCTGCCCGCCCGCCCGCCACAGCCTCCGGCGTCAGCGCTGCGGTCACTCAGCCACTCCCGTGGCCTTCCGGGTACTTCTGTGCACCCACAGCTCACCACTCCCCTCCACAGGCAGAGTCTGCGAGCCTCACTGCCTCCAGGCCTGGCGCCTCACCAAAGCGCACTTTCTGCCAGAGAACCTTCTTGTTCACATTTCTTTCTTTTCTTTTTCCAAATCTTTATTGTTGAAAATATTACATAGGTTCCCCTTTTCCCCATTGACCCTTTCTAGCCCCCTCACATCTGCCCCCCCACCCCATGCCTTCGCCACCCACCCACCCTCCCCGCCTTCCCTCTGAGGCTCCACAGTCTGTTCCTTGCTCCCATGTCTCTGGATCTATTTCGTTCACCAGTTTAATTCAGACAACCACTTTTTGACATCTGTATTTTCCCCCCATTTTCTTGTAACATTTGAGACTCTGACAATCTTGCCAATACCAAAGTAGCCCACCTCACTGCATGCAGGAAAGAATCCCACTCAGAGTGCTGCTCAGACTGGTCTGCAGACACAACCTAGGAACTGAGAGTTCTATGAAATGGTTTAAAGTGTTGTCATATTAGATTACAATCTTCAAAATAGCCTTTACCAGTTAAAAAGATGAAACCACTTTTTTAGTTATAAAATTTTCATAAGATTGTGGTCTTAAGCTATCAAAATGTGGTCTTGAGACATCAAGAAATACTTCCTAAAAGAGGTGGGGATTCTTAAGGGTGAGATTCTTCAGTGTGACCAGGGTGAGGACCCCCACCCACCTGTTCACCCAGGGCACTGCCTACACAGCCACATGTCCTGGAATCGTTTTCATCCTCAAAAGTATCCCATTTCGTATCATAAGCTTTAATGGCCACCTTATCTATGATCATGATAAAAAGAAAGAAAATGAAAACAAGAGGAAAACCCAGCAAGTATATGCACCTCCCACCCCCTTCCCCCCGCAAGCCCCTGCAGTTCCACCCTCGCTTCCTTGCCACCGGGCTTACTTAGCATTTGTCAGTGGGAACATTAAGTGGCTCCTGTGCGCGGTCCATGCTCTTTTCCCAGCAGTAGCTTCTCATTACACATTCTGTGCTTGTCCTGTTCTAAGGCTGATAAGGCTATGAAAGAACAGCAATATTCTGCCAATTGCAGCCTTAATAAAATATAACCACCAGACTTGCAAATAAACGCATAACTTCCTAGGCCGTCCAATAAAACTCTTATATGCAAACAACTTACCAGCTTCTCAGCCCCAAAACCACTAAACCGTGACCCACTTCGAGCCGCAGAAACAGCAAGGTTGCTTTTCTTCATTCCCTCAGACAGACTTGAACTCGAATTCAGCCAAGTATGTGACAAGATGGTAGAATTAGAGGAAAATTATAAATTATAACTGATAATATACCTATCACCATAGAAAGAAAGAATCATTATGAATGATTAAGAACATGTAAACAGCGTCTGGGGCCTACTAGTATGCTTTCCCCTGCCAGTTGGATTTTTATAACTGGCATATAATAATTCTAGAGTCAGGAAAACTATATAAATGGCATATAGTAATTCTAGAGTCAGGCTGTTAAAAGGGAATTATGACGTTGGGAAGAAAAAGTGAAGGTCACTAGGGAAACACCAGCTCTCAGGATTGCGGTTCAGTGACATTTCCGCGCGTTGGAGGTGGTTCACAGCCTCCCTCTGCAGCTTTTAAAGTTTCCTAATTTAGCAGGTTAATTAACTGTCGGATCCAAACAGGCTATCACGTTCCTGAAAAGAACAGGCCCGGTTTCTTACAGATTTCAAAACCCTGTATTCTTTGGCCATTGGACAGGACGTGCTGGTCAGAGAAAGCTGGTTCTCACTACTCTCAAATTTTGAAATATATACGGCGCATGTCACTAAAAATACAGCCAATTAAACAATCTGGCTTTTGAGGCTCATTTACTCTGCTTTAATATTCACAACCTAAGCTATTAGAGACTGAATGTCCTTGGTCTTCCAGACTCAGAGCTGTCTCATAAAGCTCCGGAGGATAAACTGGGTTTATTGTGTGGGTAATAAACGAATGACCTTTAGCACGGACAGCAGAATGGCCTACTTCGTGGAAGGAAGGCCTCTGAATGTGGCTACACATTTGAAACATCATAAAACTGGACATTTGTTGAAAGGAATTTATGAACACACACTGGGTGAACGCTTTTATAAAGCAAGCATTTCTATGTCATATTTTATTTCCTTTTTTGTGGGTCTAATTTACTATCACAAAGAGAATACACACAGAGTAACTTCCCTAGAACATGGTAAGCACAGCAAGGTCTCCAGGTCCTGGCGTGACGGCTAACTTTGCATGTCAACTTGTCTGGATGGGCCCGGACATTCGGTCAGACGTCGGTGGAGATGTAAAATTTGGGGGTATTTTTGATGAGCTAACACTGGATCAGTCTCCAAGGTATGGGGGCGGGAAGGGAGGCCTGAGCAAGAAGGCTGACCCTCCCCGGCAGGAGAAGGAAGGAGAAGGAAGAAGTTCCTCTTGCCCAGAGGCTCCTGAGGCAGGACAGCCACAGGCAGGACACCGGCTCTCCCCGCCTTTGACCTGGAGCTCCTCCGGGGCCTCAAGCCCAGCAGCCCCGGTGTCAGGCCTCGGCCTCAGCCTGGAGGCCAGCCTGTAACACAGGTCTTAGGACTTGTCAGCCTCCCTAAGTGTGTGAGACAATCCCTTATGTAAATCTGTCATCTATCTGTCATCTATCTACCCATATATCAATTATCTATCTATCTATCTATCTATCTATCTATCTATCTATCTATCTATCTATCTATTCATCTATGCATCTATCTATCATTCATCTATTATCTATCTACCCATCTATCAATCATCTATCTACCCATCATCTATCTATCTATCTATCTATCTATCTATCTATCTATCTATTTATCATTTATCTAGGCATCTATATATTATCTATCTACCTATCCATCTATCTATTGATTATCTATCTATCTATCCATCCATCCATCTACCTATCTACTGACATGCACTATATACCTATGTAAATTTATATCTTATTGGTTCTTTTCTCTGGAGAGCCTTGACTAATAAATATACTAGCTAATAAACCTTTACTGATATTAATGACATTAATAATAGCACAGCTTTTATGAATACAATGAATTCTGTTCAAACAAAATCTTATACAAACACTGAAGTCCCTGTCATTTTAACAGTTAATCTAATTTCAAAGATGATCAGTTTTGGCATATACAACTACATTATAACCTTATTTTCCTTGTGTAATTATGAAAAGAAAATTAGAATTATGTAGAGGTGATTCATGGGGCTGTAGGTATGCTGTGTGTCAGAATTGGGGGCTCGGAGAAGGATAAGCTGACACTGAACGGGCCCTGAATACTTGTTGCATGAGTTAACAAGAACACTTGACAAAGAAAAAAGATCAAGCCATTGTGAACAATATGTTAAAGATTAATATTTTATATTGCATGCTTGTAGGTATGAGAAAAATAATACAAACACACAGGGAGCATTGCTTAAAAGTAGGAAAAAGCGTGTAGCTCTTTCCGACCTGCCTCTCAAACACAGAGCATGCAGATCTCCATGTTACAAAAATACATTTCCAAGCGACAAGACCACGAGGGCTCTGCTGAGCAGTGCAGCTGGAGGCTCTGCTTTTACTAAATTTGTTCGAGGAACTGTTGTCTGTTTAACACGTGAAGCGCCCTGTCAGTCATGAAGACAAAGCAGGCTGGGTGCTTCCTGGGTGAAGCTTCTAGTCCCACTGTTCTTAACGTCAGTAAAACCTGGGTATGTGAGGGTCAGATATTTACAAACTCCACAGAGTTCTTTTAGTTAAAACATATAAATATTACACACACACACACACACACAATATACATGTATATGTTTTCCCCAGTAAAATGCGCACCCTGTCATTGCCTTAGCTCATTAATTTATTGAAGAATCTACGCTAAAATGAGTCTTTGTTAATTTAAGGTGATCTCTTAGACCCTGAAGTAACTGCCTACTGATGATGATGATGTAACAAACGCTCACATTCATACAGTGCAATGACTTTCACCCAGTGCGCCACAAGAAGTTCTAAAACAAGCAATACCGACCGCTTAGTCAGGGGCACTGGCCTCTTTCCCTTAGATTGTCAAATAAAAATATGACAACAGCCGACATGATCACAGTCCAATGTGAATGAATTAAATTGTATCTGTTTTTTGTCAGATTGGCATTTTTTTGATGTGCCACAGGATTTTAGTTATTAGTTTATGTGTGCTACAAGATAGAAAAAGTTGAACATTGCTGCTCTGGAATTTATTGAGTGGCCACGCACTGTGTATGGGCCCTGGGCGCCCTCCCTGGGTCAGTCCCACAGGCAGGCACAGGGCACCGCTGCCCTCCAGGGGTCACACTGGGTTATCAGTCTCTCCCCTGCAGCCCTGAGCTGTGGGTCTGAGCAATTTATTCGCATCCTTCCTTCCTCGTTAGGATTCTCCTGGAGTAAGCGAGGGAGGAATTGGACAGACACGGAAACTGTGCCCCGCTGCTCCCGCTCAGCCAACATTTATTCACGGTCTGTTCCACACTCCCTGCCCCTCCTAACCCCCCCCCCCCCCCCACACACACACACACTCAGCCCTTCCCCTTGCTGCTTCACTGCATAATTAAGGTCAGAGTTAATGAAGTGGCAGAGTCAAGTTCAGAAAATCCCCAGGCGCTATTTATTCTATCAGATCGGGCCCTGAATGTCAGCAGGGGCGGGTGTGTGTGTGTGTGTGTGTGTGTGTGTGTGTGTGTGTCCCGCCCAGCCCGCAGGCCACTCACCTGCACTACCAGGTCATTTCTGAGCTCCTTCCCTGCGAAAATCACGCGCAGCTGGTCAGCTGGAACCCCCTGTCGCTTAGCAACCTCCTCCTTGAGCTGGAGGATGCTGGTGGCAGAATCCACCTCCACTGGGAATCCGTGGCTGGAGTTGAACCGCACGAACACTGGCCGAGAAAGTGAGAAAGAAAGAAAGTGAGATCCCTCAGCCCCCGCACGCGACAGCCTGTTCGGGACCAGTGCCCGCCCTCCCGCCAGGGGTGGCACCCTGTCCCTTCGGGCACAGCCTGGGCTGCGGGGTGACAGTGGGAGAAGCACGTTGTATGAGTGACCACAGACAAACTGCGTGCTCCCCGACTTGGTCCTGGGACAGGGCGAGGCGGAGCCCGCGTGGCTGCAGCTGCCGGAGTCCCGGGAGATGGTCAGTGCCGGCCTGCAGCCCCTCTCCTCTCAAATACACATACCCCGTGTCTGATCGTGCGAAAAGCATCAAGCAGAGCCCACCCGAGGGACAGTCTAAAACACCCTGACCAGTCCCCCCAGCGTACAACTGAGCCTGAAAAGCTGCGCCCGCAGAGAGGCCGGAGGAGACCCAATGCCGTGACTAAATGCAGAGTGGTCTTCCAGGTGGGACCCCAGAAGAGAAAAACAAAGGACATAGGAGTCAAGTTTGGATTTTAGTTAATAAAAATTGTCTACATTGGTGCTCATTATACAAGTGGAGTATAATAACATGTCAAAATAAGGAAACTAGGTATGGAGTATAGAACTCCCCGTACTATCTTTGCAATTTTTCTCTAAAGTTTATTTTTTTAAAAATCTGGACTGATTCATATCTGCTGTCCAAAAACCAGATTTTTCAGTTCAAATCCAACTAAAATAATTGTCTCAGAAAACAAAAGAAACAACTGTCATCAGAAAAAAAAAAGACAGAATCCAGACTTTCTAAAACTTACATTCATAATGTTCAGGATACAATTACAAAATCACCCAATATTTGAAAGAACCACAAAAATAAAGCATATTTTCAAGAGAAAAAAAATCAACCGAGACAAACTCTGAGGGACCTTGAGTCTGGAAGTAGACAAACAAAATTTTCAAGTTGATAGTATTACTATCCTCAGTGAAGTAACGCAACATATTCTTATAACGAATCAAAGGACAGGACAGACAAGCAGAAAAATGGAAATTATAGAGAAGTACCAAATGGAAACTGCAGAAATAGAACTACATTAACTAGGATGAAAATTTGTTGGATAATAACAAAATGGAGATAAGAGAGAAAATATTAATGTGGAGTAGAGAGGAAGAAGATGAAAAACATGAACAGACCTTAGAGACCTAGTAGGTAATATCAAATTGTCTGACATACATGTAATTTTAGTAACAAAATAAAAAAAAAAAGAAGAGAAAATGAGGCAGAAAAAATATTTGAAGATGCTCAATAAACACCAAGCAAGATAAACATGAATAAGACCATGTCAAGGCACATCATAGTCAAATTATCAAAAACCAAAGATAAGGAGCAAGTTGTAAAAGCAACAGAAAAAGAGTACCCCCTGCATACAGGCTTAAAACAGTGTGATTGATGGTTAATGCCTCATCAGAAATAAAGGAACCAGAGTAAAAGTACAACGCCTTAAAATTTTTCAAATTAAAAAAAAAAAAAAAAAGCAAAAACATTGCCAACACAGAATTCTATATCCAGTAAAAACATCTCTCAGGAATGAAGACAAGATATAGAGATTTTAATATAAAAGAAAGCTAAGAGAGTTTGTCACAAGCAGACTCTTCTACAAGAAATGCTAAAGGAAACTCCACACTGGAGGAAAATGTTATCAGATGGAAATGCAGATCTTCAGAAAGGAATAAGAACAACAGAAGTGCTAAATAGCTCAGTAAATACAAAAGACAATTATGTGGGGGAGTTTTTTATCTTTTGCTTTGTTCAGTATAATTTAAAAAAAAATGTATTTTATTGATTTCCTACATAGAGGAAGAGAGAGGGACAGAGAACCAGAAACATCTATGAGAGAGAATTATTGATCAGCTGCCTCCTGCACACCCCCTGCTGGGGATGTGCCCGCAACCAAGGTACATGCCCCCAACTGGAATCAAACCCAGGACCCTCCAGTCCGCAGACTGACGCCCCATCCACTGAGCCAAACCAGTCTCGGTTGTTCATCATAATTTTTTAAAGACACAACTGTTTGTGTGGATTAAATTGTGGTCCCCCAATTGTTATGTTGAAGCCCTTACTAATGTATTTGAAGGTGCAATCTTTTTTTTTTTTTTTAATATATTTTTATTGATTTTTTACAGAGAGGAAGAGAGAGAGAGATAGTGAGCTATAAACATCGATGAGAGAGAAACATCGACCAGCTGCCTCTTGCACACCCCCTACCGGGGATGTGCCTGCAACCAATGCACATGCCCTTGACCACAATCGAACCCGGGACCTTTCAGTCCGCAGACCGATGCTCTACCACTGAGCCAAACCGGTTTCGGCTGAAGGTGCAATCTTAAGGAGATAATTAGTATTACAGATGTGCCCTTTCCCCCTCATTGACCCCCTCCACTCCACTCCCGCCTCCTAATCCACTGGATTTTACATTGCGCTCTCTCTCTCTCTCTCTCTCTCTCTCTCTCTCTCTCTCTCTCTCTCTCTCTCTCTCTCTCTCTCTCTCCTCTCTCTTTCTCCCTCTCTATCTTTCTCTCTCTGTCCCTCACCTCCCACTCTTTGTTTCCTTTGACTAATTCTTTTATTTTCTGCTTTAATTCTTTAGCAGAAGTCACATCATGGGAGGTGGAGAGGGAGGTAAGTTTATTCTCTGTAAAATAGGAGGTAAGAGAACCTGCCTCATAAATGTATTGTGAGAATCAAATGAATTACCAGAGGAGAAGTATTTAGAAAAGCACCTGGAACAGGATACGCTCCAACAGTTTTTAGCTCTCCCCCAGGCCCAGTGTGTCCCTCTGTCCAGCGCCCACCAGTCCCTCTGTCCAGCGCCCACCAGTCCCTCTGTCCAGCGCCCACCATAACGTCTGGTGGGCTGGGGTGGCGGTGTTTAGGGAGAAACGGGATGAGAACTTCTTTTTGGGGTGATGAAATCTTCTAAAATTTATGGTGGAGATGGTTGCAGAATAGACTGGAAGCCGTTGGCTGTCACACTTTAACTGGCGAGTTTTAGAGTATGTGAGTTATAGCTCAGTAGAGCTGCCTCCTCCACCCCCCTTCCCAGTTTCTGTACATCCATCACTTCCTAAAGCACTTGGCAAGAAGACAGCCACCAGGTCACTTTGGATTAAGTGCACGGATGAGTGTGCGTTCGTTTTTCTTTAAATGGCTTTCTTCCCTGTTTTCACCCATTATGGAAGCCTGCAATTCCGAGAAGAAATGCACAAACGTTGTGTATGTCATCCGTTGCATTTAGATGTCTGTTTTTATCATGTGGTAAGCTCTCGTTTTGAAATGTCACACAGTTGGCGTGCCTAGAACTGCTGGATGGACCGGAATAGTGCTAATGGTATAAGAAGGAGGCATGTATTTCAGCTCAATATGGAAGACCTAATTTGCTTAAATTACTCACGCTGCTCTCATTTCCATATGCTCTGGGGTACAAAAAAGATGTAGACTAAATCGCTGGTGACATTGAAATTCATGTATTCACACCATCAGCAAATATTTACTGAAAGGTGACCATGGCTGGGCCGTGCCAGAGATGTTCAACTGAATCCTGTGCCGCAACCCGCCGTGTTTTAGTAATTGGCTTCCTGGGTGGCAGACCGGATGGCCCGGGAACAGGGTGGAGGGAGTAGATAAGCTGGAGGAATGACAGCGCTTCCGAGACAAGGACGCAGTTCTGGCGGAGATCGGAAAACAGCACAGAGTGTCCGGGGGGGAGTGGTTTTTAAACAGCTCCCAGTGGGAGTCACGGTTTCCCAGTCATGTCTTCAGCAGAAGCAGCTGCTCTCATTGGCCACGGGCTGTCAGTACGTGTGGGGGGACAGGTGTGTGTGCAGCAGTGAGCAGACAAAGCCAGGGGCGAGGCATTTCATAGCCTCGGACCCACACATGCCCTCTGTGCCTGGCTTCCCCCTCTCGGCACCAGGGCTTCTAGATTCATCCATGTTGGAGCACGTGTCAGAACCCCGTTACTTTTTATGGTCACATGACACTCCAGGGTATGATGTAACGCATATGTCTGTCTATGGATGATGGCGTTTGGGCTGCTTCTACTTGTCGGCTGTTCTAGGTAACGCTGGGGTGAACGCTCGGGTACAGGTTTCCACGTGGCATGTGCCCGTTTTTCTTGGGAATATTCCAGCAGGATCACATGGCAACATGATGTTGGACTTTTTGAGAAACTGTGAAAACTTGACTGGTCATTAATATCCTGCAAAGTGATGGTTCACACAGTCCTGCTGAGGAAGGCTTTGGTCAAACCAGGAACATCAAGTTAATGCATTTGTGTCCCATGATGCAGACTCGCATTTTACATCGGCGACTAAGTCCGTCCTGCGGTGTCTGGCCTGAGGTGGCCACTTACTGAGGACAGCTCCTGGTGCTTCGGTGATGCTAGCCGCCTTCATCTCCGATTCGCCATGAAACCTCAGGAGAGCGGTCCTGTGGTCATAAATCTCAGTTATTTCTCAGCTAAATGTCCTTGATTATTTTCTACGAGAGGCCCGATGCACGGAATTTGTACAGGGGCCTTGGCCCTCGCAACCACAGCTTCACCTGGAAGGTCGTGAGGAAGGATGTCCGGTCTAATTAACATATTATGCTTTTTTTAGTGTAGATGTTTTAAACTATTTCCAGTATTAAACCTCATACTTCCTTTTGTTTTAATGGGCATAACTGACATATAACACTGAGTTAGTGTGAGGTGTACAGGTGTATAGAACATGTGTTGCACATGTATATATTGTAATGTGAAATGATCACCAAAGTAAGATTTGCTAACATCCATCGCTACAGATAGTTTAGGATACACGCTCTCAGCAGCTTTCCAATACACACTCCAGTATCGTCCCTGCAGGCACCACCCTGCATGTCACAGCCCGGGACCCATTCTCTTAGAACTGGAAGTTTGTGCCTCTGACCACCTTCATTTCCTCTTTTAGTCATAAATCTTGGCTCCTATTTGAAAAATATGGCTTAAAG